TTTTAAGCTCGCCTATCTCCCGTCTCTTCTCTCTCTTTAATTATTAGTTTTTCATTTTTTTCCATTTCGCTATCCTAATTGGAGTCGTACTTTATTAGTTCCTCACTAATCAGATACCCTTTTCCATCTCAACGGTATTAGTTAACTGTCATCTCTGTGCCCAACAGTATTCTTTCTGTTATCCCATCACACAAATTTTACAAAAAGGGCTTTCTTTTCTTTTGGTAGACGTTCACAAGATCGCTACTTTTTCTCCGATCAGCTTAATGATGATGGTTCCAGAGGACTCTGTCTAATTATTATCATCTATACAAAAGCACATTATACTTTAAGAGATAGTTAGGAGTCTAATATAAATGAAGCTTCAAGTTCTGAAGAGGCTTGGCTTTGAAGATGTTGTTCAGCAAATACCCCATCGTTGTTTCCTCCGAAGCCCTGCTTGTACCAAGAACAGAGCATTCCTCCTTGTTCTTCACCTTCAGCTTGCTCACTCCTATCTGTTGTCTGATGGACTCCACGATTTTTGACTCAACAGCGTTTCCTGTCACGTCTGTAACATAGAACCTGTCTTTGGCCTTACCCTCTCGTGTTGAAATCTCTGCCCTCACAATCGTTAAGCTGTTCTCTCGGAATGTTCTGGTTATGTCTGAGAGGAGACCAACTCGGTCCTCTGCTGATAATTCCAGCTCTAAACCCTGAAAGTATGTTTCATACGCATAATCTGTCTTGAGTATATAAGAAACACAAAGCATCAATGGATGCAGAGCAGGCTCTGTATTTTAAGCCACCACATAAATATTGCATTCTGTCTGTTTGGCTACCTCAGATGCTCTTCTCTCAATGGCTGCTTCAAGACATTGTATGACACGTTCTTGCTCCGCTTCTGAATTTATGGGAAGTCCATCCACATGACGGATGTAAAACTCCTGCACCATCCGTCATACTATGGTTACAAAAGATCCCAACAGAGATCTAGAAGCATTAAGAATTGTTCTATTACCTGATAAGCCTCCATTGGTTCTGTGCTGACCATGCCATGGAACACCACATACTGCATATCTGTCAAAGTACAGACTACGTCAAACACAAGCTTTGGCCTGTCTTTGGACCTCATTGTCACAACAGTATAATCCTNCTCAATGTTAGTTAGCGTGACACTGGGCCTGGACGCCGGTGTCCTTGCTCTTTTGCCTCCCTCGTAGTCCCTATCATCAAACATGATCTGATGCAACCGTCTCTCCCTGTGTGTTTCAGAACAAGAAAAGACCGTCTTCGCGGCTCTTGAACCGCTGTTTGTCCTAACAACATTGCACAGCAGCTCCTTGATGGTGGAAAGGCGAATAGGGTCTGTGATGGCTGAATTAGTTGAATTGTCCGTGACATGGATGACCGCTGCAGCTCTGGTGTTGTGAGTCCATATCTCAGCGTTGACAACGTTGCAGTGAAGGTCTGTGAGAACAGCAGATACCTCGGACAAGAGACCGGGTCTGTCTGTTCCAGCGAGCTCAATGGTTGTGTATTCGTCAGAGGGCATTACACCAACTGAGCTTCTTAAAGGTGGAATAAACCAGCCAGCGTTGCTCTCAATCCTCTGCGCAGTAATTCCAACAAATGGTTATACACAAGAAGGAAAACCATGCACGTTGATTGAGCATAGAAGTGGGTGCTTACCCTTTGGATATAGTCAAGGACTTGTGAGTCTCTGATCTTGTTCCCATCTTGGTCGATCACTTTGAAAACGTCCATGAACCAACCTCCATCAGACGAGATGTAAGCTTTCTTGATGACAAGATTCATATCAGTGAGCACTTGCACTACTTCCAAAAGAGTCCCATGTTTGTTGACGCTATCAACCTGTTGTATTAAATACCCCAAAGACGCACAACTAAACACAAATCACATGTAAAAGAAACAGGGAACATCTCTGTGGAGGAGTTGGTTTGTTACCTGAATAACAGTGGCATCCTCGCTAGCGCTGTTGTCTATGACAACTCTGTTACCATAGATAAAATGGGTAAAGATGACAAGCAGAGCATGGAGGGTAAAGAAGAAGTTGTGAGAGAAGAAATAAACCTGGGGGGATTCATTCTCCTGATGAGCTTGGCATATTCATCATCATCCATGCTTGTATCGAACTCAAGAAGAGAGCTCAAGGGAAACGTGTGGGAAAAGTGAGAGAGTTTGAATAAGAAAAGGAGGAGGATAAAATGGTGCGGGTAGGCCACACACAACCTTTTCATTACCCCGTTTTGCCGGATTGATGCCCGGATCCAGCACGTGACACTAAAGAAAGATTCTTGGGATTCTCTTCTTCTTCCATACTACCACTTTTTGTTTTTGGGTGATCAAGAGGGGATATATTCACGATTGGATATTTACTAGACAGATACAGAGAGTGGAAAAACGTCATGTGGTTTGCAAGCAAAGTAGAGCATCTCCTTTTGGTTGCAGATTCCACCCACCCACCCACTTGAATAATTGACATATCACAATTTCTCTTCTTTGCCTCACATTATTACTCTTTCATTAGTCAACACACGGCTTCACCTAGAAAGAAAGAAAGAATCTTTCATTAGGCACTTGTTGTTACCTTCCGACCCTGTATTCTTCATTACCATATTTCTCTGGCTCCAAACTAATCTTGTCTTATTGCCCTTGGAGCTTTTAAGATTACATAGAAAGCAACAAAACCTGATTCACTTTGCGTGAAAACAAGTCCATGTGGCAAAGATTAACTGACCAAAATCGATTCCCCGAATGACCATGAAGCGAAGAGGGACGGGGCAGAAGTGACTTACCGGAAGCCCTTTCCGGCGGGGCGAGAATCAATTCAGCCGCCGACGTATGGAAGAAGAAGCAACTTCGGGTTGTGGAATATCCCAATCAAATCTTTGTTGGGCCTCCTTTTCTATTGTTGGGCCTAAACCCATTAATTAATTTATGGCATACAAGTAAGGAT